GACTCTTTTGCTTAGAAAGGGAGATGAGCACCAACCCCTAGAGTCAGACACGACTAGACTTAATGTCAGGGGAAAACTTTTACCTACTTTTAGTGAGTATGGAATGTGTTTCCTTGCATTCTGAGATTAGCTGTAGGGACAAACCAAGTGTAATACAAGTTCATGCTTTTTGAAAGAATGGCAAATTGGTATAGGCAGAGAATTCCTTTTCCAAAATACTTGGCCACAGCAGTGTTTTGGATTTCTATTTTTTCCAACTTTTGGAATACCTGTATTTGCACATACACACAAAATGAGATCTTGGAGATGGGTCTCTGGACTAAACGCATGGGTCCTGATTGTTTCCTGTGCACTTTATACACATAGCCTGAAAGTAAACTTATGCACAGCATTTTAAATCATTTTATGTATGGAACAAATCTGGTGCACATTGAACCATATGTAATCAAGTGTTTTGCTATCTCCCACTTTCATGTCAACACATGTGGATTTGGGAGTATTTCAGATTTCAGAATTCTGGATAAGGATGCAAACCTGTGCATAATTATTTATGTGATTGGCCATTACAAGATTGCCTGCCTTCCATTTTTTTGCTTTCGAACTCTGGCTGTTTTGAATTCAACATCTGTCCAGCTTTTCATTACAGTAATGCTGTATGTGTCTTCTCTACAGCACCTTTCTTTTTATTCAATTTAAACACCTGCTGACTTCTATATGGCTGAATTCCCAAAGTTCTCGTTTCTCCCTCCACGTCCTTTCCCATGAGCCATGTTTGTCCTCAGTCAACACAGTTTTTTCCAGTTTCATTCACTATGTCCTTCCTCCTTTGTTGCTTTTGTCCACTTAAGCACATTTGCTCGTACAATTTATCAAAAGAGTGTCCATGGTGCCTCCAGAAGTCTATGACACTTTTTGAGAGACAGTGATTTGGCCAAGGTGAGCATTTGAGCACCATGGGAGAGTGAATATTTGAATCTGGGCTTCCCCATTCTTAGCCAGACACTGAAACCATTAGAAAAGGGATGCCAGCTTGTTGTGAAAGTGCAGGTTCTATCTTCTTACACCTTTGGTTGTGCCAAGATGGTTTGTTGGAAGTTGCGATCTGACAACCTCTGATGAGCCACAAGTTGCCCACTCTTGTTGTGGATCACGCTACCTTGCATTGTAT